TGTTTATGTGAACTTGCAACCAATCAAAATCCTTCATGCTGCTGATCAACCAATCAGATTTCCCGTCCACCAGATGGACAGGAATCTCACAGTTTAGATAGGTTTTGTATCAGGCCCTATTCTGTGAATTTATAAGAAAATAAATTTTATTGACCATCTTTTGCATTTTTGAATGCAAGGAATACGATTTGTGACTGTACATTTGCTATTCTTTCCTAATTCTCTTCCAACAAATATATTCCAAGGCGTATGCCTAACAATCTTTATGTCTCAATCAATTCCATGGGTGCCTATCCCCCTCCTCCCCCCAAAAAAACCCCACCCCCCGGGCTTTTGTCGGGCATTTGTCATTTTTGCGAAAAAAACTGTTGCAAATGCCCCACCATGGGGTCAAAATAATGCAACAAAATCCCTACGCTTGGGGACAAAATATAAGTTTTCTGAGGATTTATGAATCAAAAAATCAAATGCAAGCTCTATCTCATATCAATATATCATTCTGTATTTAACCCATTACTGTCGTTCCAATTGAAGTGTTGCTCAAATATTGATTCAATACATTACCTCGGGCTGACCAATTCATTTCATCAAGTTCCTCGAGATATTCATACACATCCTAGTATAATTGTAAACTTCCTGTTGAATAGTTTGAATGCACCAATCACCTTTGTTGTTTGTGCAACTAACCAATCATAAATAGAAAGGAAGTGACCAGAAATGATCAAATACTTGGAATTGGCTCTTTCACAGGTAGTGTATGAATATCTCGAGGAACTTGATGAAATGAATTGGTCAGCCAGAGGTAATGTATTGAATCAATATTTGAGCAACACTTCAATTGGAACGACAGTAAGCTGAAGAGCTTCCCCATTGACAAGTAAAATTGTCTGGCATTAGACATGAAGTAAAAAAAAGTAGGGCGCACTGGGGCGCATCGTGGCTCAATGGGTTAACTAGAGACATTGTCAGATTTTGGGTTAATTAACCCATTAATTAAGCTGCAGAGCTCCCCCATTGACAAGTAAAATCATCTGGCATTAGACAAGTAAAAAAAGGGTGCACTGGGGCGCATTCAGCTCAATGGGTTAAATTCGATTCTGTAGTTAATATTAACAAACTCTGTACTCTATCTGTGAAAATCCTTCATGTCTGCCATGATTAATTCACAATACACATGCACGTGTAAAGTTTAACGTACAGCTAAATGGTGAAACAAGCGACAAATATTCGCCTTTTTAGCCTCAAGCAAATTACTCACCCCGGGGCTGACCTGCAGAAAGCAAATGCCCGACCCTATGCCCGGGGGGATGGGCACCCATGGAATTAATTGAGACATTACCCCTTGTCACTTTCTAGAGCAGGAAATAGCAATATATTTCTTAAGACCACAAAAAACACACATTCATACCCCCAGGCCCCATCCAAAAATATGCTACTAACCTCCAGGTTTACAAATCATCTGAACTTATCAGCTCTGTATATTAATTAAACAACAATAACGTGAATGTCAATGTCGTACCTTTCGTATCGTGTCTTTTATCAGGTGATCGAAGGCTCCCACCATAACACAAACAACCATTGATACTGTGAGTGCAATTCCAAAAGTTATTAAACATAAAGAACAATATTCACGCCTACAGCAGCGCATGATTATTATACCAGATTAAAATTCCTATTAAAATTCTTGAGAAAAATACAAGTGAAAGATGTGATGTCAAAACTCAAAAGCCAAGTCAAAAACAAAGGCACGTGAGCTCTGTTTAGCAATGAGCACGGACGTCGCTTGCGAGAACTTGCGCGAACGCACGCGTGAAACACTCGAGGCCCGAAAATGACCAGATTTGGTAAAATATTTTATAAAATAACATGTATATAACGCGTATTCTGATTGGTCGAAAGCCGTGTTTGGATCAGGCCATCCAAACACGGAAGACTACCGTGTTGTTGTTATTTTATAAAACAATTACTTTATGGTTTCCGTGTTTGGATGGACTGATCCAAACACTTGGGAATGTTGCTCGAGTTAAGAAAAGCGGGCAAAATCACTCGCCTTCGGCTCGTGTTTCGCTCGCTTTTCTTAACTCCCGCAACATTCCCGCGTGTTTGGATCAGGCCATCCAAACACGGAAACCATAAAGTAATTGTATATTACTTTTGGTAAAATTCAGGGCATTTTTTTAACTATAAAGCCCCCATGGTGCCTCCCCCAGCCCCCATGGTGCCTCCCCCAGCCCCCATGGTGCCCCCTGATAAACCATCCCCCCCCGTCAAACTCCCTTTTCTCTAAAATCAGAGCTCTAAAATATAAGCAAAACATGGAATTTAGAAGGGTTAAGGGACCGTTCGTTAATTAAGGACCAGGGGGGCTAGAGGAAAATTAGGGGGGGGGGGTCACCAAAACAATTTATGGTTAGAAGGGGGTCTTTAAAAGGTTTTCAGCATGAAAGGGAGGGTTGCCAAAATTATTTGTGGTAATTATTAATATTTTAGGTTGACCACCAAACCATTTGATGAAACCAAAACCAAAACCATTTGATGAAATGGTTTGCAATTTTAACAGTTTTAAAGCTTTTGTTATGTTTGTGGTGAAGAAATTGGAAGCGTTACTTATGTTGGTGGAGAAATTTTGAATATGCTTATGTTAGTCTGGAAAAATTTTTAGACTATGCTTATGTTCGTCCGGAAAATTTTTTTACCTCCCTCAGTACCCCCTCCCCCCGTCGACAACATTTTTGGGAAAAATTTGTACGACTTGGTGAAAATAAATAGGGGGGGTTGTGAAAAAAATTGTCGGTTAGAAGGGGGTGGGTCATGAAAAAATTAACACCTTAATGGGGGGGTCATGGAAAACTTGCACCGTTTCTGCTCTTTTTCCTCCAGCCCACCCTGACGTATAATTAATGAACGGTCCCTAAATATTGTGTTGTAAATACCTTATTAGATTTTAAACATTTTCCAGTGGATTGCATATCCCAGACCCTATAGATTTGAGTTGTTGGAAGGCTCGGGTAAACAAGTTAGTGACCGCAAGGAGTGTAGGAAGCAGGGGCAACGGGCCCCCAACCCAGTGTTTTATAAGGGGGGGGGGGATAATTTTCGTCCCCAGCAAAAAAATCCAATTGATTACGAAACCAGAAGTATTTGAAATCGTATATATATATATATATATATATATATATATATATATACATATATCAAGACCCAGCCGCGGCAGACAACATCTTTCTGATTGCGCTGGGTATGGAAATTATATAATACACACTCTAGAACATTTTCATCTTAACATATTACATGCAGAGTGTACAATAACACAACTAACATAACACTTGCAGAACTAGTATTGTTCGATGCTGAATTAATATAAACGAGTATGTTTATGCCATTCAGTATATATTTCATAATTTCCAGTCTTAAATCCGTCTGACCGTGTAGCTCAGTTGCTATAGAGCGTCGATATATATATATATATATATATATATATATATATATATATATATATATATATATATATATATATATATATATATATATATATATATATATATATATATATATATAT